TTTCTTCTGCTTTAATTTTGATTCAAAAGAAATCGAATCACTCGTTTCCTCTTTTCGAACACCTTTCTGGCTTCAAGAAAAGCATTGGTTTATTACTTGTGAATACAAAAATGCCTATCAAAAGCCTGAACTTGGGCTCTTCTCATCGTCGCGAGCTCCAAATGGCTTTCCATTCGGCAATGATTTCTATACAATATCTTCTTCCACTTCCACCGCGATGGATGATGACGAAGGACAAACAAATAATGTATGGCGTGTTCGTCTAAATTTGGGCATTCTGATGGAGGAAAAAGCCCATAAAATCGTATGTATCAAGAAATAATAACTTATTACATAAATGAGTATTCTTCTTTCAGTTTCAAAATAAGAAGAATCAGAATAAGATCAGTCTTTTCTTAGATTGATTTTCTTCTTCGTCAGTTGTACACTTTTCTAATACCACAAATCATTTGAAAAATCGTACAAAATAAATAATAGCTACAGTTTCCAGCTAATCTTTATTTAAAATAGATCTTGAAAAGTTGATTATTGATAACACTTAAGTTGACGTTTCAAGTTCCTTTCTGAAATTTCACAAATTTGAAAATTTAAAACAATTGATATCTGAACAGGATTAATCACATCTATTTCATGCTCATTTCAAACTTCGAAAAACACACTAAGACAAAACTTTCCACCTAGTTAAATCATGATTTAATGAAGTGAATAGAGACGGAAAATGAAGCTGAGATTTTAATTTTTCAGTTTGTCAAGATGCTTACTCTTTGTAAATATCTGTAAAATGCCATGTAATTCATTGTTTATCTTCTCAATAACTCATATTGAAAAAAATACTTTAGTACTATTTTCATTTAGGTTACAGTACCAAGATATCTATCACATTGTAATGTTAGCCAACTCACTCTGGACATCGATAGTGAATCATTGGTTGAAGCATCGCAGTGCCTATCAAAACTTATTGATCTTAAGCATGTCACTGAAATTTGGCTGATCTGTACATCTCCTGCTGCAATTGATATCGATTCAATTCAGAGTTTGCTTAAGCAAACTAACAATGTCCATACATTGGGTATTTTGTCTGTCTATATTTTGACCAACATTATTACACGTATATGGTCTGTTGTATATCGTCAAGTACGGCATTTACAAGTTAAAACAGACAATTTAGAATGCATGCAATCGATTCTTGAACGAGCTGAACACTTATATAGTGTAAAATTTATCGATGATAATAGAATACCAAATGTTCGAACGAAGATTATCGAATGGCTGAGACAGAAGAAACGGAAATTCTCTTTCGTACAAGATTGTGATTCTCTTACAATATCTTTTCTCATGAGCGAAAACAAGCGTGAACTATTCAAAATCGATAGCAGTAACAAACATTTCAAACGAACTGAGTATTGCAATGATTATTAATCTAATTGACTCTTTTCATTTTTTTTCTCTATTAACTAATGATATGGTCATATTGTGGATAAACTCATATGAAATATCTTGAAAGATCTGCGAACATAAATTAAAAATGTCTAGTTTCACACAACTCAGACTATTATCGTGAAATATTTTGCGCAATATTTCTTCTAAAACAAATTAGTGCGATTAGCGCTGACTACTCATAAGAGATGTTGCCTTACATAATATTTTCCTGAAGATCATATGACCTATTACAATCGTCGACAATATGAATATTTGGTGTTCAAATAAACGAACGATGCGACCGATTACAGCAATCACAAATCGATATCGTTTGATTTGCCTTTGTGCGATCGATATACGGTCGGATTGTTAATCTTGTTCGAACGAGCTCTGCAATGCATTAGCGACAACCGATCAGATCGACGAAACTATTAACTAGAACTTTATGTTACATTATTATTAGAATAAAAAATATGAAGAATGCCAAAGCATTTTTATTGACTGAAAGTGAAAATCAATCAACGATAAATTTTAAATTTTAAAATAATAAATTTGATCAAACAGCACTTTCAACATACAGAACAAAAGGAGGATGTGGATGAAGAAAAGACACACCCACACCCTTATTAATTTTCTTTAAGTTCTTTTAACATTTGTTTACTTTTCGTTCTTTCATCGACTAATGCCACACGTTCAAATTCCTGTAATATTCAAAAACCTCATCTTTTTATTATTTTTTTCTTAATATTAAACAAAACATACAACATATTCATTAGAAATAGCAAGACAATAAGTAATTAACCTTCTAATCTATGTTGTGTTACAGAGGAATATATAAAAGTTTAGATCTTGTGTGATAGAAAGATTCAAGATTTTATAATAAATTTCTTTATTTTTTTTCTAACGTTCGATATCGATGATTCTATGCCAACTAATAGAAATTGTAAGAGATTTTGTTGCATATCTTTCGCTGCTGTTGATAAGATAATGTCTGTTAAAGTAAACGAAACTTACTGTAATCATATCAAAAGATTCTTTTTCTTAAAACTTTTCGAAGTGAATTTTCTACTTTTTGTACTTTATCCTATTCGAGAATTGATTAATAGAAAATGATTTCATTATTCTTTATACTTTTATTGGAATAATTAATTAACCTTTTCAGGTTTTAATGTTGGCAAATCTGAATACGATTTTCGAGCTTTTTCGGATAGATCTCTTATTTTTGTATGTAGTTCAGATAATTCAACGAGGGTATGAGTGTGAAGTGCAGTTTTGGATGTAAATGTTGCTATACTCTTCGCCGGACATCCACATCTCATATAGTTAGTCGATGAAACAGCCTTGTTTTTCTGATATGACTATAAACTAAAGAAACGAAATAACTCAATCAAAGTCAGAAATGGATAAGTATCAAAAATTTATTATAAAACTCACCTTTCAATTTCCACAAGAGAATACATAAGTTTGTCTTTAGACAACCCAGATCGACAAATCAGACATAAGATCTTATGAGATCAGACGAAATCGTACAAGAAGTCTTCGCTTCTGAAACAAGGAGAAACAGCGGACTTCAAGTACAGTAAAGTACTTTAAAATTACAGAAAAGTACATTAAAAAGCACAGAGGAGTACTTTAAAGTAACCTGAACTTCTCCTCTGAAGTAGTCCAATTTTAACCCCAAATACAGTATTTATTGTTTCTCCTTAGCTCTGAAATCTTACGCCAAGTCATATAATAAGGTTTTTGAAAGGTCTTACCTATACATGAGTGTTTCCAAGTCGACTAGTCCAAGAGTAAGACTTGTAAGGTGAGACAAAATTGTAAGAAAAATCATTATGTCTGAAAAACATACATCAAGTCATTTTGTAAGATATGTGCAAGATATTGCTATAAGATTAGAGAAAAACTTATGTGTCGTTAAGATGGTAGACGCATTTTATAATATGGGTGAACGTATATGTTTCAGAAACATCGATTTTTCGTGCGAATTGTCTAGAGTCCTGCAGGACTCTACTCTATCACTATCAATAACTGTGAAAATTCGAAAGAAACAAAAAGATCTTTCCAATAAGGAGAAAGACATTATTTCAAAGTCCAAGAAAAAGTACGAAGTGCACCTGGTAGACACTTGATACTTTAGTCGAAAAGTAAAAGTACAAATAATTTCGTTCGAGCTCTGTGAACAAGGAGTGAACATGTTTGTAATAAATTTATTCGATTGACCGCTTGGTTTTCTTTTTGAGTCTTTGTTTTTAATCAGTTGGATTCACAGCTATGTTTTACATATGAGTAGAGAGAGTGGCGCCTAACTTATCACGTTTTCATTATTTCGAGACTTAAAAAAGCTAATTTTTCAAAAAAAACTTCATTTATTGCAGAACACTATTTCTATGCAAACGGAACGTTCTATCAAATATCAAAAAATTGTACTTCTGATTCAATCTTGATACTTTTAGCCTAAGTTCGAACTGATATTCTCTTACTTTCCGTTGCCGACATCACTGTAAAACAAAATGCCATTTTTTTTGTGTATGTTCAGATAGAAATAAAAATGTAAAATTCGTGACGGAGTACTATAAAGTGCTTCATACCATATGAATCAAATCTGATTCACTTTTTATTTGAATGCAGATGACTTTTATACGTCGCCTTGAAATGAACGATTATGCTAGTAATCATTCTCTTTCTCTTTCATTAATCGAGCCTATTAGTATGTGTGAATTGAAAATAAATTGACTTCGTCCTTCAGTAACTGCAACATTAAAACGAATGATGATTTTCATTGGTATTCTGTGTTTTAATGATATATGTACATTTTACATTTTATACATAGAATGAGAAAAAAAAAATACAGAAGAAAGAAAGACACACAACATAGTTAATACGAAAAACTGCACCTTGGTAGTTACAAGTAGTAACGAAAAATATTCCATCAATATAATACAGAACGAAAAAAAAAGCAAGCAGTTATATCACTTTAATTTTACGTTTGTGCATATAGGAAGTTAATCGAGACATATCTGAAATTTTTATTTTGTATAGTCTTTGAATAGATGAGGAACCAACCAGCAGATTTAAAAGTATGACTTGAAAAGGATACCTTAAATTTGCAGAAGAAAAAAAAAAGGAAAAGAAATATTTAAAAAAAAATCTGTATCTACGTCACAGAGAAGCAATTGAAGACAAAGATAGAAAAAAGTTCACTTGAGCTAATGTACATATGTAAGAGCTTCGTTTACTCGTTCTATTCCTCATCTCTTGTGGTTCCTCTTTCATCATCGTCACCAGGTTTATTACCGCTGTTACAAATAAAATAAAGAATGAAAAAGAAAAAAAAAACAGAGACAAAAAATAGTCCCCGATCAGAACACTCGTCAATTCAAATCTTTTTCTCTTCATTTTCAAGTACTTCTGCATAATTCACATACCGTCTATATATACAACTGCTGACTTGGCATTCGTTTTTTTAAATTTTTTTTTATTCTCGCAAGCCACTTTGATTATTCAAACAAAATGGTTGCATTTTGGAAAGCGACTATAACTGTCCTTGTGCTTTATAGTGTCGGTAAAGGGTATAGTTTATTATCGTTCTTATATGAAGTAGGTGTCAGATAAGAGGATAACCTTGAGTATATTTCAATAATATAAAATATACATGGAATCTATGAAAAACTTACGAAAGTTTTATTTGATTAACTTCTTATAAGAATGCTTACATGAGGATCAATAAGGAATACGTACGTTCATACGTGTACATAATAACACATTGGCAATGACCCTTTCCATGAAAGAATATAAACATAAAACTATTTTATTGAATTTCTTCGCCATTGATATAACAATAATTTATTATCGTCTACTGATGATTTTATTTGTACTTTAAGCTATTGATGGAAATAGAGTTCGTCGTCGTCGACAAACTTTGGATCTAGGGTTGGATTCTATTAGTCAAAATCAATTATCACCAAATTTTCAAACTCATAATGCTCAAGAACAATCTTCTCTACAAAGAAATGGTCAAAATGAAATTATATTAGGGAAAAAAGACAGTCGACAGTATAATCTATATCGGAGTTATTATGGTTATGGAACTCTACAAGGTATAAATTATCCCTATGGTAGCTCAGGTGTTGGTCCTTATCGATATGGATATGGAGAATGTAAGAATATATATAAAATAAAATGAAATCTTTTTTTTTTTTGAGTTTTCTTCAGATGGACAGTATGGGCAAGGATCAGATCGATATGCTTCCTATTACATTCAAAATACGGGTTCATCCGATCACGATCCAGGTTATAATAGTGTAGGTTATAATAATCGTCCTGATTCTTATCCTTCAAATTATTATGGTGGTAACTTTTGGAATGACGGAGAAAAATACACTATGAATAGGTTTCTTGTTTTCATTTCTCTATTGAACAGTTTACTGACGTGTTCAAAACTGTAGGAAGATAAAAAGCAAATACTAACTCTTTATTACTATACTCGTGTGCACTTTTTCCATGTAAATTGTTCTATGAATATTTGTTTTTTTCTTCAATATTTTCAGCAAAAGTTTTGTTCATTAACACTACAGATCTTTATGTTTTATTTTTCTTTTGTTGTAAATTTTTTAAAAACATTGTATTTCGCTAAAATATTTTTATTGTCTCTCTTTTTGATCAACGAATTATTGACTCTTTTGATTACTTCTTTGTGCAAAAACAAACAATAGATTTTATTTCAGCAAACATAATAACAAAAAAAGCATTTTGATCAACACTTAAAAGATATGTTTATGATTTGAAAAAAAGAGATTAACTTTTTTATCTTTTTATGTTCCGGTGAAAGATGTTCATGAAAAAACAGCCGATGTAGACCCATTCATCAAACCATGGAAAGCTATCTTTTCTGAGATTATTGCGTTCTGCACTTTATCGAATGTGTTCTAAATTGATGAGAATACAACCAACATTTGAAGAAAAGCATTCCTTGCTGCTCCAAGCTATGATGAAATATTTTGTTTCTAGTACAAAATATTTCGTCATATGAATAGAACACTTTCCGAACTGTCCAAAAAGTAGTCTTGGAATAGTTCTCCTTTTGTTTTACTTAGGAACATTCAGAATGGCATTCTGTCCGAAAGAGATCGCTTTATTTAATATACTGTAATGAATAGCCTACGAATGGATTCTTCAAATTAATAAATACATTCTAGAAGATAAAAAGAAAACATCCTTGTAAAGAAAACACCGTCTTCTATATCATTTCTCATATTTTTAAATATAAATATGTATGCATATATTTATATGTAAATATTGATGCATGTGTTGTTTCAGATGAATACATATATGAATAAATATATTTTGAAATATATTTAAAAAGAAATGTACAGAAATAGACGAAAAATAACGAAACAATTTTGTTTTTGTTTCGTCCTATTCATGAAAAGTAAAATCTCTTATGTATACTGCATATACTAGGTAATAGTGGTCAGAGGTATAGGATACTATCAGTCTCTCAGGTCTACCAATCCGATGGTACGATCTTATAAGATCATACCTCTGATCTTGTGTGATCTTGTAAAATCCGATGAAAATCGTACACAAAAAATCGCAATTACACAAATCTCACATCATATTGTACTAAAAGATTTTAAAAAGTTCCAGCTGTCCTATAAGAGATTGATAGCTGAAACCCGAATATGGAAGAAATAATATAGGTACTATGCCTGCGAGAGTGCAGGAATACATGAAACCAGTTACTATCGTTTTCCAGCTGATACTCAATCAATCGAATCAGCTTATATTTCTAATCAATACAGGTTGTTGTCGTAATGTATATAGTTAACATTGAAAAAGCTCGGTTCTCAATAGAACACAAGATGTGATTGGTCTATATCGACAATGTGAAGTATGGGAAGAACTTTGAGATGATTTTTTTCACCCATAAAGAGGCTGTACACAAGTGATAGTTTTACCGAAGATTGGTGCAGCATACAAATACAAAACAATAATCTCTCGCAATCGCAAGTAACGATGTCAGTGAGTATGTTCTAATTGTTAATATCTACGCATACATATAATGAATGTCGCACCTGTTCTTTTTGATCATTTAGCTGACGCGGTTGGCACTTACCGTAAAAACAACTGTCGCTAGCGTCATCTTCTCCCTGATGTGTTATTGTGAATACTCGCATGTAAACATCGTCGGGCGAAAGACAGAATGGAATGAAAAAGAACGATCGAGAAAAAAAAACAACTGTATTGCAATCAACTCTGCAAGCTTGCCATTTCAGTCAACGTTACTTTCAGGAGCAATTCAAAATTTTCACGTGGTAGGTAGGTGTGATTTCTCAGGTAGAAAAATTACATTTGTAACAGTTGAAAGCAACTTACATACTGCCATTTTCTTTCACTTTCAGTGCTTGATTAACTACTAGAATCAAACAAATTCCACTTCGCTCGAATCGGTGATCTGATGGCACAACAATCATTTAATAATCGTACTGAATCGAATATATTCAAACCTTTCTACACTTATGTCAGTGCTAATGACAGATCCATGTACGAGAATCAAGAAATTACGCAATCTACGACCAATAATTTACCAAATTTCTTCACAGGAGAACCGCTAAGCGTTGATAATGTTACTATTGACACTGTATTGCAACGACGCTACATGAATCACCAGGACAACTTTGAAATGCCTCGTCCATCTTTGGATCAATTCTTTAATACGCCTAACATGCCACAACAAGACTCAATGGAAACATATGCCATACCAAGATACCTGCATCATCAATCCACAGGCCCCTCAACAAAGGCAACATCTTCATCGAAACGCTGTAAATGTTGCTGCGAATGGTATGGTCAAAATCGTTGTATTATTAGTGTCATAATTGCAGTGATTATACTTGTTATTATCGTTGTTATAATAGCTACTGCAGTGACATTGAGTCTACACAGCAATGATGATAATAGTTCATCTCCTACAGGTACGTGCTTTCTGGTAGACTCATTTTTATGTTACTGACAAGTTTATTTCGGCATGGATCGAAAACTCAACCAACTATGCCATCATTCGACTTTCTCTCGATTAGGGATGTCACAATTTAATGTATTTTCAAATTAGCTTACACATATTACGCGAAACAGCAGAATACCTACATCTCCTTTTACGTCTTCTTTGAAGGATTCCTTTATTTTGTAGAATTCATGTATATTTTCGAAGAAAATAATAGTGCATATATGTTTAAATAGGGGTATTGCGGTTCCTTCCCCCCCCTCTCCCTTGCCCCCCTCCATTGCAGACCTTAGCAACCCCCCCCCCCCAGACCTTATCAACTGTGGAAGGAGGAAGTCAATGATAATTTAGTGTTAAGATCATACTGAAACTCTGTAATTTTCAACTATTTAGTCTAAATATTGTGTTTTCGGATCTTTCATGAAGAAGAAGAATCTTATTCTAAGTTTCTAATTTTAGGCAAAACTCAGTAGTATACGTCAAAATTCCTCGAGAGAAGGGATCGTATGGATGGTAGTTCATTGACCCATTAAGTGCAAATATATAGCAGAATAATATGATACTTGAACTGAAAAAATAAAGAATAAAATACATTTGCTGGTTTCTATAGAATGTATTGTAGATATATTATCATCAGGAGAAATGAAGCTATGAATCGAAGATATATCGAGTAATGTAAATAAACTTTGAGAGTACAATGATGTTGAATAAATCAAATAAATTGTTAAAAAATTAATTATGAATCTGAATAGCTTCAAAATAATAAAATTTCAGAGCACGCGTATCGACTTTCAAAATTATTATAATTTTCATGCATTCATTTACTTGATGCAGTTTTTGAAAATAAATTATTTTGAAGACTCTGACTACATATCATAAATTCGTATTTTCGAGAGTTTTCACGTGAAAAACATTGGTTTCAACATAATTTGAGAATGTTTTCGTTTTCGAAAAGCAGGCACATGTCTATTATATATTGGTCTCTTCTTCTAGAATGCACGATTAGATCGCAGTTATCTCATATAGTGAAAGGCATCCAGACAGTAGTTATTATAGTTAAAAGAATGCGATTCTTCAAACTGACGCATCTCTCAGGTCTCTATCTTTTTTTCTTAAATGGTATCACATTTTTTCTACTGACTAGACGCAAAACAAAAGAGCAACGAGAAAATGATCGAATTTGATCACTGTCATGAGATCACATATGCATCACTATGCCACCGCTTGTATTTGATAAGTTGTCACACATACTTTTATCAACTAAATACGTTTCATTGAGTCCTTGCAATCGAGAATAAGTTATTTGATTAAGTGCTGTAACACATCTAACGATTAAAATACTAGTTTATGACTCGTACTTCGTTAACGGACGATCGTAAAACTTCGATGAAAATTTATCGATGAAATATAGACAGTTGAGTGGTCTAACAGTTCAATAAATTTGTTTTTAACGCCATACATCGAAGTTCTTACTGATCGTTTTTTCGAAAGATGTATGAATGAGCATAGATAGCGGGAAAGTCCAATGTATACAGAATGCATATACGTTGCGTCTCTGCAGATATCAGATAAGAGATTATAACTAAACGATCTCATAGAGTTTTTAATGACATTTGGAAGAGTTCACTTGATCATCATACTTGAATGACGTTCTAAGAAAATTTTCAATCGAAGAGGTTGTTGGACGAAGTTTTCAAATAAAGAATTATTATATGATCAAAATCCACATCGTTTTCAGTGAAAATTTGTTCAGTGAATGAAACACACTCGCTCACCCCTCTCTCATGTTGTTTTTATGCCAGTAATCAATGATCGATATGTATCTGTCTTCATTTCGACCATGATAGTCTGACAAATTCAAAATCACAATCGAAGATTCAGATTTCCATCCGAAATGCAAAACAAGTGAGGTCTATCTATAGGTGACAATTGAAATTTTATATCTATGATTGCTCATAGTTCAAAGGAAAATATAAAGAAAAGTGAATGTTCAAATACTTTTTTATCCAACTGTATTTTTGAATTTTGCAGTGGCAGCTACCATAACCAAGCATGATTCATGAAAAGAAAGAGTAAGAAATTCCCAAAATATTTATCGGCATCTGCAACACTAACCATAATGATTCACTAAACCAAATAGACTGAAATATAAGAAGCATCTCTCAGTTACTCACTAGGCTATTCTTTTATATATGCTTCACTATCAAAGAGCTCTAACCAGCTTTCAAATTAAGCGAATCGACGACTTCACGAATCATAGAGTGAAAAATGCTGCTCTTGAATCGCACTGTTTGGATTCAAAAGTATTGCATAGATACAACTCGATTGGTTCCAAACGTCAAATATGCTCTGGTGCTTATCGAATTAGTCAAAAGATACTTGACGGTAGCTGTTCAGTTCTTACATGATTTTACTGTACGTCAGACGTGTTTCTAAACTATATACGCATGAATATCGGTGAAACAATTACTGGAGAACTCCTGAATGGAGAATCTTAGCTTGTATTTGAAAAAAAACATCAGATATTAACAGAAGAAAAGGCGAGAAAATTCAAGCAGAATAGAGTCAGAAAACGAACGTTTTTCTTTCGTTTGTTTCTTCGTTTCATTTCTTTGTTTGATAAAGACAAGAGAGAAAGATCACGAAGTTTCTTGGTTTTATTCTGTTCTTGCCAGGGATAGGACCAACTTCACTGACGAAATACTCTTGTAATTCAAACGCTCAGTGTGGTTGCTCAACCCAAACAGCAATATTGACAAAAATTGTTGGAGGAGAAGCAGCTGGTTCGAACACTTGGGGCTGGACTGTGTCATTGATTATCGGCAATTCGCTTTGTGGTGGATCGATCATTGCACCTTCTTGGATTCTTACAGCTGCGCATTGTGTTACAGGAGCTAGTGCCCAGCAAATCACTGTTTATGCTGGTTCCAATATGAAATTAACAGGTAGTCAGATTTTATCAGTGTCAGCAATTATAAGCCATCCAGGCTACTCGTCATCTGTCTATGTCAACGATATAGCTCTTCTTCAACTGTCGACTCCATTGGACATGACCGATCCAAGTGTCAGTGCCATTTGTCTTCCGTCAATCAGTTCCACAACATTATCAACAGGCGAATGGCCATCACCTGGTACCACAGTAAGTGACAGAGTCAGTCTACAGATATAAAGTCGTACATGAATCTTTGTAGGTAGTGGCTGTCGGTTGGGGTGTATTGAGTGAAAATGGATTTTCATCATCGACACTTCAACAAGTAACGCTGCAAACGGTTGATCACAATTTGTCAATGTGTTCTGGTGTCACCAACAATTGGACAGTGCAATTATGTGCTAGTTCTCCGGGAAAAGGTATATATTCTCGATTCTGTTCGACCGATCTGACATGTATCATTTTTTTCTTTCATTATGCTAGACACGTGTCAGGGTGATTCTGGTGGGCCACTGATGGCTTTCACTTCCAGCCAACAGTGGGTGTTAGTCGGTGCAACGAGTAGTGGCCATGGTTGTGCTCGACCGAATTATGCCGGCAGTTATACTCGCATAGCTGCTTTTCAAAGTTGGATTAGTTCGAATACCGGTGGTCAGTTTACCAATCCAACCTCATCAAGTTTAGCTTAGCTAACCAAAAATATCGATCCTACAACATCAAGATAAACACCTGTACATTATCGACCAGTTGTTTCATTTGTATTGATCTCACTTGCATTGCCGTTTGACAGCATGTTACGTTCCTTTATTCCATTAGCTGAGTGTTTTGTCAATAAACGAGTCAGATGACTATTGCTATTCTCCATTGTTATACAAAGTATTCAATCGAACTCAACCAAAAAGCCATAGCCACAGTCACAACCACCCATATCCACTTTTATTTCCCAAAAAGAAAGGAAAGGAAAGTGTCATCGCCTCCAGCCATGATATCATACGGTTATATCCTCTGAGTCGAGATTCCTTGAGTCATGAGCACGAGATGCTTGACGCAGGAGTCTTGACTCATGAGGATGTATATATGCGATGCGCTTTGATGAGAGGGGAGTGT